AATGAAGACATTGATTTTAGCAAATAAAATACTTAAAATACTGGACATTGTCCCTTTAAAGAGTAACTCCACATTAGATTTGGAAGGAGGAAAAACCTAGCTGCAATGGCCTCTATGGCTTAAAGGTAAATGTTTGTTGCCACTAGATGTCGCAGTAGAGCAGCAGCATCTCATACCCAAACAATAACCGCTACTGCCGATCAGTCATTTTCACTAGTAGATAATCGTAAAATGCACATCAAACTGGACAGAAATAAAATAAATCTTTTTCAGTCTGTCCAACCATCACTTGGTCTAAATAAAACCCTTAATCCACAGAATGAGATGAGATAATAGCCGCAAAACAGGCGGCTATGGCTGCCATATAACATTAGCTAATTCCTTCTAGGCACGTCCAGAAGTATTTTGCAGAGATAGACCTTTTGTTTAACCACTAACAGCTGTAATATTGCTCGCCACCAGACTCCGTAGACAAAAATAGTAATTCTACTTGCAGATTGTCTTGACATCAGGACTCCTTCGAAGTGGACAAAATAAAACTCACCAAAACTGTCTTTGTTTTGTCTTTCCACTGTTCCAACAAGCACTAAGGCTGGTTTGATAATTTAATCACAGACGTAGATAAGAAAAACAACAGTTTCAGGTGCTCTACTTAGTTGGAAAAGGGACTCACATGCACTAATGTGCACATTGGCCAGACCAGATTTGTAAACAAATCACCAAGTGACTGCGATAACAACACATGGTGTCCTGTGCAGAGAATGACGTCACTCCCTTTGCCTGACTCCAATATGTGTTTACATAGCGAATAGTTGTTCTTGTTGTTGCTATATTCAATTTTCAATCTTATAATTATAATCTTTAAAGCGCAAAACAATAATATTCATTTAAAGCACTAAAAAGGAGTATATTGTGGAAGAAACCACTGTTCTTTCAGGTGGCAGATGGAGTAAAAAGCAATCGAGAAATATTACTGCAAGTTTATTTATCCTCTTCAGGGAGGGTGGAGGAACGACAAGAAGCAAAAGGCTTTATGGGAAGTGTCTCCATAATGACCTCAACCAAGGTCTCATTTGTTTACAGTTCTTGTGGCGTTTTTTATTTGAAAATCATTTACATATCCCCTTTAATTCTGCTCAGCCTGTTTGTGCGACAGTTCTTCATCTAAACTCAGCAGTGTGTTGGTTCTTCTGGTTGGAAACCGTGTACTCAGTCACTCCAACTGACAAAGACAGACAAGGTTTTATCACTTTTTCTCTCTCTTTTCCTCCCTTGTTTTACAAGGTCACTTTACAGGCTATTTGAAGAGCTGGGAAAAGTCAATAGACTGCAGTTCCCATTACTTACAGTGTTAGTCACTCACTGTCCCTCAAACTCTGCATGTCGAGTGCCTGTGGCTGCTGTTATCTTGGAAAGTTAAGTCTGAGTCGCCCAGTCCTCACATTTATTAAATTGTGGCAACATAAAAGCATTGTCTAAATGTTCATGTATCTTGAAAACTGATGAATAACAAAGAATGTGTGTGTTTGAGCAGAATAAGATTGCAGTAGAAGCTATATGAGCTGAAAGATTAAATTGCTAAAGTTGCTCACAGCATTTCTACCTCCTGCTCCTGTTTGATCACCACCACTTTTTTTGGAAATACCACAACCACTCAAAATTTTGTAGCCAGGGTTAAAAATGGAGTTGTCATCTTTCTGTGCCTCAGCAGGACAAATGGTGACATCCATGAAAAACTGTGACAGCTATGGCCAGAAGTTAACCTGGCTGCAGTCTGTAGAATGTGTCAGGATTTAAAGTTGAATGTTTAATCCCACTCACTGTGGCACGGTTAAACATCAATTTCCTTGTTTTCCTACTTTGGTTTGAGCAGCACTTCCTTTTGTCTCAGTTAGCCGTACAGCAAAAGTTAGTCCACTGGTAGAAAAGGCAGCCAGGCCTTACCGTACAAAAACACAACTTAATAACTTTACTCACTAATTTGATGAAACTATTGATATGAGGCAGTGAATTTAATGAATGTACTGTTTATTAGCCCACAAATGAGATAAGAATTAGGCTGAAAAAACAATAGACAGCCAAAGTGTTGGTTTCTGGGGACCTGCGCACTTAATTACTGTACAAAAACAACTTTATTCACAGATTTTGGTGACACTGGATCATATTTCATGGAGAAAATAGTTTATAGTTTTCCCTCTGACGTGTGAAAGAACTGCGATTTACAGGGTTTCCTGACGTACAATAGTTGTTGCTAAAGTAATTGCTAACTGTTGCTAACAGTAGCTGCCAATAGCTAAGTTAGGTATACTATTAGCTAAGCCCGGTTCCGTTGTCCGCTCGCTCCGCAACACCATTGCCTGCCAATTATAATCACAGGGAGATCAACAGCTAGAATCCAATCACAATCAATGTTTAACCCCACCCAAATTAAACAGTTAAACCAACCATTGCTGAACCCCGCCCCATTCTGCAGGCTGCAATGAGGTACTCCTTACACAAGCTGTGGCAAGCATGGATGGGATGGATATAGCTGTCTTACAGGTTATTTTAAGTTAATTATAAAATAAATCTGCAACAGAATAAGCCCACTCCCATCAGAAGTTTGCTAACACGAGCATGAAATCCGTCTAAAGGAAAGAAGTGGAACAAACTGGTCGTTTAATTATCAGACTACAACATAAGAATTGCTGCATCTCTTTAATAAACATACATCTACATATTTCCTGCAACATTTCCTGTCACATTGGGATTGGATTGGGTCACACAGACTCCTATATTAACACTTTGTTTGTCAGGGATTCTTAATATCCATATTTTGCCCATGCATTGTTGTCGGCAGCAGCCACATTCACGCCCTGTTTGTGCTAAAGCCCAGCAGGCAGCTTTTATCATGCTGCCCTGTTGTTCTGTAACCAGGATAACTACATTGTTGAGATTTAGTGTCCCAGCAGTCCATTGGCTACATATTAATATGTGGTGCAGGGCCATTGTTCTCAGCCTCTGGAGCAACAAGCAGCATTGTTCCAAATGTCTGAGATTTATAAACTGTCCTCTGGCCAAATAACTGGCCAAACGACTAACAGTGCTTAAACACCTCATTAAGCCTCAGATACTGTACATGATTTCAATCTGGTAACTAGACTGCTAGTTTGTTCCTTCTGACAGAGGAGGGTTTACTTTAGCTGTTTCACAGTCCTGTATCTCCTGTACAGACAATTTACAGTCATATTGTATCTTGGACAAACGGATGTTCCAGATCTTGGCTTCCAACGCTTCCTTTGGGACTTCTAAAAATAGAATACAGAGACTCAAAATGGAAACTAAACGTTTTTAAACAGACTTTCACATTGGAATGATTTACAGAAACCAGCCTTCAGAAAAAAAGTTGCAAGTCTGTCGAATCCTTTTAATAGCCTTTAGTTAATCTGGTGTCTTTTTTTCTGCTTCTCTCACTTGTAGCTGTTAAACTGCTCGGGGCCTGAATCCAGCCCATGTACAATCTCCGCCCAGTGTAGCACACAGTACATTTGGAATGACCTGCATAAAAATCTATTTTTAAAGTCATAGTGTTCGAATGGTTGGGCCCATTTCACAAAAACAACCATAAGTTGTGATCCGGTTGTGCTCTGAACCAACTTTGTGTTTCCACCTCATTGCTTCACTTTTTACTTTGACTGCACTGGTGAAGGTGGTTTTCTGTTGGGTTCCTTTCTGTATCATTTCCAAAGACAAGCAAATAATTGGGCTACTTTTAATGACAAGTAGTTGAGTTTGAGGCACTGATTGGGCTATTTGCTGTCTGTCAAATCTGGCAACAGAAACTTCACTCCCTCACTTCTAGAGGATGCAACAAGGTCCTTGGGCCAACAGTGGAGTTTACAGCAATGGGGACTGCAGTACAGGGAATGTAGCCAGTCTAAATGTACAAATAGTGTTTTAGATATATTCAGATCAAATTATTGAATTCATTTTTGCCTCATGCCATTCTCAAACTCTCAGGACCAGCCTCCATATAGATGTGGGCCCCCCAACGTCGGCTCCTTCCGCTCCCCTGTCCCCCTCCAGCCCCACCCTGGAGGAGCGGAGGAGGCCGGGCACCCTGCTGATCTGGCAGGAGAGAGAACGCCAGCATCAGCAGAGAGAAAAGGCCAGGTAACTACTCATTGACATTCTTTATAAAGACAATAGAACCAAACGTGAGACACTTTCAACTGTACTGATTTATTTAGAACAACAGAGTTTACTTCTGACGGAGGACAAAGCATTTGACAAAAAAAGCATATGAATGGATTGGATGCTGACATCACATGATGTTAGCAGAAATTTGACTATTTCCTGCTCTTACTGGAACACAGTGTGAATATGAACTTGTGTGGAGCAGTTCCACACATACAACTCTCTGTCAGAGGCTGCTCCCTACTGCCCGGCTAATCTCTAATTATACGCTTTCCATGTCCAAACTCTAATTTTGCAGTTTGCTGAAGTCATCCACCAAAACAGGAAGTCATGTGGCTGCTGCACCACCACAGACAGGAAGTGTCTCGGCGTAAGTAAAGCTTGTTGAACAGATAAACACACAGCAGAGCAACAGCTGAGACACTCATGACTTTGAGTGGCCGTCCAATTTATACTCCCTTCCATTCATTCTCACATTTCCTTGCTTTATGCTGAATTTAAACAGCTTTAGCTTAAGGGTGTGGGAAGTGTTGGTTTTCTGTAGCCAACAAACTGTGGTGTCTGTCTCCCCCTAGTGGTGCATCTCCAGAGAACAACTCCCAGTCAGGCCTCCGGCAGCGTTGTGCAGTGAGTCGTGCTTCTCATTCCTTCAGGAAATAGAGCTGAAAGGTTCACACAGCTGCACTGTGACTGATTTCATTATTGATAATGTGAAATTTGTTCCTTTTTTTTATTAGAGTGCTGACCAGATGTCTCCAACAATTCTACATCGCTCCAGCAGCAGAATAGGTACTACACACTTACTCTGTTTAAAAAGACTTTAATTGAATGTTTGTAAACGTACAGGAACTGCTGTATTATGAGGAGATGTTAATATACCAGAAGATACTGGTTTCTGATTGGCTGACTGCTTCAAATTGTATATAGGACACCTCAAATAAAGATCCACTGATATTTCCAAAGTATGAATGGGTTCCCAAAGAAGGTTAAACTGTGGGTAACCATAGCAACACCACTAACCATTGACACAACCTTACTGGCAGGGTCTTTTAAAAGGCTTCAATATCCAATCCAACAATCAGAATTTTAGGCCTTAAAAATTTATTAAATTTATGACGTTAATGTTGACTAATATGGAACCATTACTGATTTTCCATCATAACCTTTGCACTTCTTTTCCCCAGTATGGGCATGAAATAGGTCATAAATCACATTCGTAATGGTTTTAAAAAGTCTTAAAAAGTTCTACAAGTCTTCTTGTAATCTGTTGAAACCTGAAGAAACCTTGGCACGCACGCACACACACACACACACACACACACACACAGATAATGATGAGAAAGTTCACCTAGTTGCTCCTCCCTGAGCTTTCATCCTGCATTGCTCTGAGTGAACTGTATCTGCTGAGTAAGGCTGAAATAAATTGTCTTGTCAGCACATGTTTCATAATACATGTGGAACACTGACCTTGTTTGTTTCAGATGTCCCGTCCTCCCCAAAGACGTCCCCTCCACCCGGCCAGGCCCAGAAACCCAACAGTTTCCTGTTCCGCACCTCCTCCCGCAGCAACGTCAAACCCGCAGTCTTTACCCTGGGTGAGTCTGGCAGAAGTGAGTCTCGCACGATGCTGCGATCGCCTAAAGAGGAGAGACCAGACATCACACAGCTACGCAAGGTAAACCACAAGATACATTACACATTTAAAAAAATGTTGAATGGAAGTTTGCTTAGTCACATGTGGTATTTCTTGTTCTTATTATCTCTCAATAAATATACCAGAACATCTTTGCATCACCTCAAATCCTCCTGTGGCATAAAAAAATCCCTTTCAAGGGTCTTTGAAATACCTTCTTCCACACATGTTGTGTCTCAGCTTCTTCTCACTGTATTGAAGATGCTTATTATTTACGTAAACATCATCGTGGTAATCGTGGGTTTTAATAGTTGGTGTCCTGTGATGGGAATGCTGTCTAAAATGAACATCTGACATAATCCTCTCTTTCTGACGCCCTCCTCAGACTCTGGAGTCTCGGCTGAAGATCACTCTGCCGGAGGATCTGGGTGAGGCCTTATCCAACGGCACCATCCTCTGCCAGCTGGTCAATCACATTCGACCACGCTCCGTGTCAATAATCCACATTCCCTCTCCAGCAGTGGTGAGTCTCGTAAACTGCTGAATCCAGTCCCTGTCAGAAATGTATCACTGATTGACTATAATTATATGATCAAAGATATAATAACTACATTTCATCATGAACCTACACAACTGTGAGCATTTGACTCTAAACTACAATCAAGTCATATTCTCATTCTTCACACAAATGAACATTCATTTATCCCGAGTTCAGAGGATCACAGTCACATCTCTCACATGAATGAAAAAGGTGTTTGCGTGTGTATACGCTGTGTCAGAAGATCTCAACCCCATAATTAGATTTTACCAACACACAGACATGATTCATAGCTTTTTCCACCACGACAAGTATCTAGCAGACAGTAAAGCATTTATTAACATTTTTATTTATTATTGAGCCCACATCGTTAGACACAGGAGGCGCTGCACAGACCACATTACATCAGCAGCAGATCAGATATACAACTTAAAGAGAGAGAGTGTAACACAGCCGAGGACACACAAAACACGACAGTCAGCAGTTTCTTGATCGACCTGATTATTCAAATGTTTAATATTATTAATATTATCCTGTTAATAGCGCCACCTATGGTTACTGCCCAACACTGTTCATAAAAACAAAGCAATCATTTCGGTCCAACATAAAGAGATCTAAATGTCCGATGTTATTTCAGCCTAAACTGAGCTCAGCGAAGTGTCGACTCAACGTGGAGAACTTCATTGCTGCTTGTCGCAAGCTGGGAGTCCCTGAGGTACAGTCCATGTGTCACTATGATTCCCTGTCCTTACAGCAAAACTACTCTGATACATCAAAATGTGATGCTTCTTAAAAGCATCCCATTGAGTCTGTTTAAAAAGTAGATGAAACAGAATTCTCTACGTGCTTTAAGCTCAGTTGTGTTGCTACATTATTTCTGTCAGGGTTGGACTGTGAGGGTGTTTGAGGGCCTTTGTCCTAAATCGAATTACATTTTCAATCACATCACTGGCCCATATCAGTCCAACCCTAACTCTGCTTTGTGTAAGTCTACATTCTGTTTGTCTTCTGTTGTCTCTTTGTTTTAACAATATAACTACTTGTATTTTCCTCCTGTGTGTGTGTCCAGATGGATGTGTGTGTGTGCTCTGATGTGCTTCTATGTAAGCTGCCCGCTGTGCTACGCTGTGTGACGGCCCTGCTGGCCGCGGAGGGGGGGGAGACGGCGGAGGACCACTCCCCTCGCCACTCCTCACCTTCGCCATCGTCGTCGTCCTCACCGCTGTCCACAGATTTCCTGCTCTTCTACTGCGCCGTCATGGCTCTGCTCTACGTCCTGTACTGCTACCTGCTCACCTAGAGGACAAACACAGTTCTTATTTACATGACTGCTGTCCTGCTCTACACTACACACTACAACACACACACAGTACAGTTGTGGAGTTTGAGGCCAACACACACAGCTGCTCTCACAGTTGTCATCTCAGACAATACTCTGCAGTGTGTGTGTGTGTGAGCCGACAGTTGAGCATACAGCTTTTATGAAACAAACAGAATACACTACAGCTCTTCATTTAGCAAAACAGAAAGCACTACATGGACAAATACTGTATGAGAGCAGATGAACAGAGATATGCCTTAGCCTAGTTTAGCCTTCACTCTGTAATGCACAGTGTGTTTGCAGAAGATGAGTTTAACTGTGAGGCAGAGCTGCTCCACAGGAACAAACCCTCTCATTGGTTGAGACATGGATGGGCGGAGCAAAGGAACCACAACTTCAGTTACATCTCACTGACCATTGACTATAGAGTGCCAAAAATGTTTAAAAGTGATGGTGATTTGTGAAGATTATCTTGCTGAACAAAATGCATATCAAACCTTTGTTGACGACAAAAAGAGGAGTTTTTCCATAATCCATGTCCGATGGCTGTCAGTAATCGGATGTATCCATTATAACTGGCCAATGTACAGTGTTACATTTTGAAAATGCGCACAACCAACGCTCTACATCCAGGGTAGCCATCAAGCGCATATGAGAGTGTAGTTATGGTTACGACTAACCTTTATTTGAATTATCGATTAATTGATTAGGTGTTTGGTTGATACAATGTCGGAGGACTAAAGAAACCTAAAACAATTAAGCGATTATCAAAATATAGTTAAATGCTAATTGATTTGTTTTTGTGTTTACCTGATGCATACGAGTCCATAAATGTTCTCTCCTTTAATCTCTGTTGTGGTCTCCAACTCCTGGGAGCTAGTCAACTGTATCTGGAAGAGAAAGGAAGGCAAACAGCAAAATGATTGTCCAGACAGTAAACTGTGATGGACAGACTCTTCCCTGTCATGAGTCCGTAGTGTAAGCGTGATAGAGTGATAAATGTCAGGAGGTCAGCAGACTAGTTCAGTTGGCTAACCAGATGTCCTTGTTATACAGCCGGCAGGACTCATTGTTCCTGCTTGTTTGTCAGCATCACTCAGTGTGGTTCTTTAGCTCTGCTCACTAAGGTTTTCTGTGTTCGGAGCAGCTCTACCTCTGAGAATGCCTCTCATCCTGAGAGAGAAACTGTTCAAGTAAGCTGAACTGTGAATGTGACTATTAGCCTTGAGACAGGTGGTTGGGGAAATGTGGAATCTGGATGTTAGGTGACATTATTTCTGATACAACAATGTGACAGTGAGACAGATGTTACAGTGCCTCTTACTGAACACTGACTGAGACCACTGGCAGAGCCGGCTCTTATTTTTATGTCTGCTATGGTAACTGTGAGCAGCAGGGGGCGATGTCGCTGCATCGATCCCCTAACTGACGGTACAAACCCCTCCAGGAGGTTGTGTGTAAGTCTTTTTCGTGGTTGTCACTGGTCCCTTTGACCAGCCGACTCATGTTTGTATAAATGTAAACAGGTTATTAAATTATTGCTTTTTTATTTATTTTGGATTCTGTTCTTGTTACTTTTGTTTCTGAGGTGAAACAGCAGAGATAGTTTTGAAGCCTCATAAAGCTTTGTGAAATCAATCCGTATGCTTTAAAACACACAAACAGGTAAATAAGAGGTAATCAATATTCAATTATTCAGAGTTAAAATAACATTGATTGCTTAAAAGTTTTCCCTTTTATTGGATTGGGAAATAATTGATTCCCTCGAGGCTGCACACTGAACAGAGCATCAAACGACCTCTGCTGTTTCTATCACACGCTGCGTCTGGCTTTTTGCTCTTAGGAGGTCAATGTCTGAGACTAAACGCTGATTGGAATCTGATTAGAATGCTTAATTGACTGTTTGGGAGCTAATGTCAATAGTGAGATTTTTAGGATTATGCTGCTAAAGCCCCACAAACTCACATCATTTACTGTTTTACTCTTATCTAGGACTCTGAAACAACATTTAAAGCAGAACAACACATTAAAACGTTCTACTGAAACTAAGTCATGAAGTAAAAGCAGGGGACCAACTTAACTTGTTCATAGGGAATACTCCAGTCAATCTTCGTCTAACATTTTGTCACTGAAGAAATAAGCTTAAATATCTTATTTAGGCTTTTTTTCTGCTACTTTGAAACATACTATCAGAGGATAGCAGTATCAGCAGACTGTGTTGGTCTAACTCTGCTATTAAGTAGCAGGACTGATAATAAACATTAATTTGTATTAAATAAATAAATGAACCCATTATTTCATCATTATAATTATAATATATTTATTGGAGGTCACGGAAGGTTTTTTGCAATGACACTTATTTAATGAGGCTTTTCTAATGTGTGTTGTGTCAGCACCCCCTGCCTCTGTGACTGTACCCAATGTGCAAACACAGTACAGTCACAGTAATGAACCTCTCCTGTTATTTAGCTTCGAAAGGCTACATATGCTACCTATCTGGCAAGCTAACAGGCAAAGCTGGGTTGTCAGCTAGGATTAATACACAGCATCAAAGTGCAGAGACAGAGTTAGCATTGTTAGCCAGCTCCTGTTGGGTTGAGTGACCACAGAGAAGACCACTGAGGATTAGCCAGTTAGCTGCTGTTAACACCAGCTCTCTTTGATGCCCAGTTATATTCTAAGCTGGTAAACCAACCTAGCTTATTAGCTGCCTAGCTTGGTGGCATGTGTAGCCTTGTTGAACCAGCCTACAGTTGGTTGATTCAGAATGACTTTAGCATCGTTGTTGCTCTAGCTAACAGGAGCTAACCGGCTTAATGTGGTTGTATCACTGGAAAAACACCAAATAATCAAACCGACTTTTGAAATACATTTCTACAGTGTAATAAAAACAGAACTCCATCCAAACTGTTGTAAAAAGAATTATGAAACCATAGTAATACGTTTCACGAATGATTTCATGATTACTGATGTCTTCTCTTTTTCCATTCAATATTGAACTCTGGGGCCCCACGTTTAAAGAAGCCATTCTGTGGAATTATACTTTTATAAGTTGATTTCCATATTTAACAATGTGCACAGCACACTGGTTGTTTTAGTCCACCGTCCATTTCCTGTCCACTTCTCTGCTGTTGTTTAGAGGTCAGAACGTCCACTGTAAAACCCCTCCCATGGCTCCAGTTTTTTTATTCGCCTGCTGTTAAGATGAAATTTATACTGTTTCAATTCAAATGTATATTTTATAAATGGAACTGGATAAGCAACATACAGTAATTCATTCACTGGCTATATTCTTAAATATGTTAGCGGAACAGAAAGACTTGTATTTTATATTTATATGATACCCTTGTATTATTAAGAATCCTTTTTGAGTTTATATAAATCTATATGTAAAGTTCTTTTCCCTGCCGCTGTAAAGAAATTATTAAAAATGAACTTTGACCACGTGCTGTTTGTCTGCTCGCCAGCTGTCGTGCTTTTGCTTCATCAGCCGAGAATGTGATCAGGGTATCTGCAGCTGCTCCACTCAAGGGTCACTCACTAGCTTTTTTTCTTCAGAGAATGGAGTCTGTGTCACATGACCTGTATGAAAGTATGAAATTATATATTGTTCAAATTTATTTTGATGGAAGCATTCTGGTGATTTTCTATATTATTCTTATCAGCAAATCCCACGTCCCGATCCAAGCAATGTGTCCTATTGCTTTCCGGCTGCTACAAATTCTCACTAGAGCTTAGATTAAATAGACCCCAACCATTGCATTTGCTACAGTGACCAGCTGTTCTGGGAAGTTAGACCCTTTCAACAATAAAACCGTACATCTGTGAAGCATTTTTTAAGATGTACGTCTGCAGGAGGAACCAGTGGCTGTTCTCTGGGGAAGTTAACCCGACATACCAGACCAACCACTACATCCTCATCCTTGAAGCCTTTTTACTTCTAAAACAACAGTTTGCAGTTGTCAAGCACAGCATCTTCATTCCGGTCCATTAAGCCAGAATGGGCTCATTACTGCCCCCTGTAGACAACAGGGCAAACGCTGTCAACACCCCCTTTCAAATTTTAAAATGTGTATCAGATTAAATAGTAAAACTTTTAAATTGATCCCACCATGCAAAGCACTGCCTAACAGAGGCGCTACTCAACGGAGAGAAAACCTCTTTCAGGTTGTGGGTTGTGGTGAAGACAAAGGACCAAATTGGCTCTTCATCAGGTACAGAGGAACAGCGTGCTTGGGGGACAGAAACTCGTGTTATGTTTTGTTTGTTTTTTAAAGACAACAAATTCAGTGTTTTGAACACTGAGTCACTTCAGCTGGTGAGATCACAGTGTGATTTGGTTTTACGAGATAAAACACAGCAAGAACGAGGCCTGAGTGGTTGGCTTGGCAACTTCCCTGCAGTCCCAGTGGCTCTCAGCTGCACAGCTGCAGAGGGGCTGCAGAACCTTCAAAGTATTAACAGTGCTTCCACACCTGTAGTTGGATTCATTTGGTACAAAGCAAAGGGACGCACTGTTGCATTTTAGTTTTGTTCTGATTCGTGTTCACTGACTATTTACAGCTCACTGATTGGACACATGACCAACTGTCATCGTTCATCGTGGGGAAATCAAATTCAAGTGACAGAAGTTTATGCAGCACTTAAATGCTTCTGACGTGTACATTTATGTATTTGATGATGATAAGCATTAGTACTATTATTAGACTGCAAATCAACTACATTATCAATAATGACTAAAGCTGGAATTACTTTCAGCGTCTGTGAGTATGTGACGGTCAGCGGGACGTAAATTTCGTCGTCATAAGGTGACACTACGAGGGCACATCTTCATGTAGATCTTGATCTACCACGTGTGGAACACGTCCAAGCGAATTCACCTCGGCCGTGATGTCCACAGCTGTCCGTATACACGTCCACTTGGGAGTATATTCAGGGCTTAAAAAGGTAGAGACGGGCCCAAAAAGTAATGATTTGAAGCTTACTACTGTGGGATTGCTGATTGGTTCATTTGCTTTCACACCACAAACCGCTCCGGAATACGCTTGGACGCAGACCAAGACTACTTAAAAGGTTGTCTCGGCCCACAGGGGTCTATCAACAGCTGTAAAGAACCACACTAACTGTAGTGGGTTCCGTTTTAACTGAAGCAAACAGGTTAGGTGTGAAAGCACTGTAAGACAGGACTAACACAGTGTTGGCTTTCATGGGATTTGTTGACAGTGTGAAATATAGAAGAACACCAGACTCTTTCTTTAAGTACACAATGTTCAGTAACTGGTGGAGCTGGAATCCTGCAACCATCCACTCACACCATTACAGGACAGGGGGATTTTACCAGCTCGCTTCCTTCATGTTGGTTTTGAATTGAAGTCTGTTTCGTGACACATTCAGAGTGGTAAAATTGTGAGGGGGCCTGCAGATATCCTGACGTGAATCCACTGTGCCCTGTGCTTTTAACCTCTTCAAAAAGCTCCTGTGTGCTCTCCAAAACAGCAGGTTTACCATCATAAATTCCAGCTGGCCCGTGTCGGAGCAGGTGAGTGTGTCTGAGCCGAGGTCAGAGCGAAGGCATTTTAACTCTGAAGGGAGGAGACGCGATAAACAGCGCTGTCGCCTTTCTGATTTTCCCTCTCTGCATCACTTCAGTCTGCCTGCTGCTGCTCACACACACTGTGTATTGCTCTCACACACACACTGTGTTTTGTCGAGCTCCAGATTGTCTACAATTTCTGCATACGGTCGGACTTTAAGGTTCACCAGTTAATCAAGTAATCACTACAGTCAGCAGCTCTGATTATGTAGATTGAATCATTTCTCAGATGTACCGGGAAATGTCAGTCTTTGTGGGTGGGTGAGTTCCTGGGGGGGGTTCAGGGGTCACTGAGGACGATCCGGGGTGCCCATCTTGACGGTCTGTGAAATGCAAAAAGCTTGAGAATCACTGAGGCAGACATTAGCTGTGCAGGAGGGACTACAAATCCATCCACTTTCAAGTCTGGGATTTAATGCAACGGCTATAAGCATTCAATAACAGGCAGCGTTAGTCGATCATTGTAGAGCTACGGAGGCCTTTAAGCACGACTGTCAAAAGAGTTCCCAACGAAGTACAGCAGAGTCAATCATCTCAGCAAGATGAAAAGGTTAATACACGTCTTTGTCTGAAACTATCTAAATCCGAGTAACGGCAATGCATAATGAAAATAACAAAAGAAACTTCACTACAGGCACGACATTAAACCTGCTACAAGGAGTTTTATGAAACAGTCAGTTTAATAATGATGCCTCTATATGAGCAAGACCAACAGAGAGAAGATTGGCTACCTTTAAATAGTTATTCTTATGTCTACAAAAAAGACAACTGGAGAGTTAAATGTAAGAATAGAAACAGGGTTAGCTCACAGATAAAGCTCTATCCAATCCTTTATTTCTGTATCTCTTCATTGGATGACGTTCATATTCAGTATGGTCACCCCAGTTTCTTATTCTGCCCTGTTTCCAAATCCACATATACATGGTAG